CAAGCAGATTTTGAATTGTAGCCAGTGGCTTTCCCCTGGGAGTTGGTGTACTCCAAGAGTTACATGAAAAGCTGATCGGCAGCCTTCTTTTGCACTGAAATGGCAGCGGTGGGTATGTTGTAGAGTTATCTTCTGTGGTCTTTTAAGCCAAAAGTTTGGCAAAAACAGATGGACTTGGTTGTAAAAAATACATTGACACCCAGCACCCAGTGGATAGCCCCTGGGTCGTCCATCTGAACGGTCATTGCTTGCCTGTTTGGCCATGGGCTGTCACGACTGTCCGAGGCTGAAGATGCAGATTGACTCAAGGGGCTCAAAAAGATAAAACTTTGCTTTTTGCTTTGTTTTAAAAGTTGACAAGGCAGTAAAACTTGCAGCTGTGGATACACAATAGCCACTAGTGCTTTATTAGTGAGTGGTGAGAAATAATAATACGAATAATGGCTAATGAGGGAGTTTGCTGCAGCTGAGACTGATGGGAATGGGGATCAGGTGTAGGAGGATGTGGCAGGACTGTGGAGCAGTCACACCCTAGGCAAAAGTGACCCAAATCCAGTTTTATTGTCCATATACCACCCATATCTGATTTTTCTACATACATGTCAAGTTGTACGGACTGTCCCTTATTTACACAGATTTTCCATCATTTTGCAGGTTTACAAACGCATAGAGCAATCTTATGTATTTTTTCAAGTTTTACAGATTTTCTTCAAAACCTCAGTTTCAAATTGGTTTAACATGTCAGAGCCTGGAGGGCATTACAAAAAAGAAATAACATTAAGTAACCGTCTTCCAACCTGTTCTGCTGCAAGAAATGACTAGAAATAATTTCTCCACTTCTTCTCCTCTCCTTTCCTCCAGGCCCTGCCATGTCCTTCGCCGTCAGCACCTACTACCCCCTGCGTGCGAGGGTGCAACTATTATGGATTTTATGCAAAAATTACAGATTTTTGGGGTGCATTATACAGGTAAACATCCAAAGGGGTTGACATGTACAGTATGTTTCTATGATGGTCTGAATATGATAATTTTTTCCAAGTTAAACCCAGGTCATTTGTATCCAGTTTTTAAAAAACTAGATACATAACCAATGTTTTAGAAAGCAAATGCAGTCTGAACAGTCATGTTGCATTTCATCTAACCTTTATATCATTGGGGCAGGGACAAACAACTTCATCGAGTTATTCAGCAAAATGTGATCATATTTGAATTTGTTTCTACTTTCAGTATGTTGCTCTTAGATGGGAAGTGACAAGGTCAAATGTGAACAATGGTTGAAATAAGCACAGCAGATAATTTACTTATCCCAATTTCACAACAGTTTCAGAATTTGTACACACATTCTAACATCTGTAGCATCCATATTCACTTCTGTAAACACAGTGTGCTGATTGTAACGTCTTCGACTGCCCATGTGAGTCACTTCAGGGTCATAGACTAAAGGCCCATTTGTATTATACTATTTAAAGACTTTGAGCTATTGATGTTATAAGGGTCACAACAAATGTGGTTGTGCAAACCTCCAGTCATCTTTGTTCAGGTTGACCAAGATGTTCATGTCTTCTTCTGCCATCAGCTTGTAGGCGGCYCTGACGTGATGATTTTCCAACACAGATCTGTCATTGTACAGAATGGCCACCTCTGACCTGACAGACAAATTAAACAATTCAATCAAACTCCAGGATCTGTTGGAGTTCATGCAAAAACAAAAGCAAAAAAAAAAAAAAAAAAAAAAAAAAAACATCATCAACATCAACATGCTTATCTCAGTCTTCATCTGTTTAAGAGACTGATAAGTGGCTTATATATTGCATCAGCTTTATTTTTAGCACCTCTGTAACTCTTCCAACAAATTTGCTTTTGATATAGCATATTCCATTAGAAGTTGAAATACTTTAAGCGGAAAATATATATTTT